TGATCTCCAGTAGCATATTGGGCACCTACCGACCTGGGGAGTTCATCTTTCAGTGTCCTATCTTTTTGCCTTTTCATACTGTTCATGGGGTTCTCAAGGCAAGAATACTGAAGTGGTTTGTCATTCCCTTCTCCAGTGGACCATGTTTGGTCAGACCTCTCCACCATGACCCGTCCATCTTGGGTGGCCTTATATGGCATGGCTCATGGTTTCATTGAATTGGGCAAGGCTGTGGTCCATGTGATCAGTTTGATTAGTTTTCTGTGATTGTGGTTTTCATTCCTACAAACTATACAATCCATGGAGTTCTACAGACCAGAATACTGGAGAGGGTAGCCGTTCCCTTCTCCAGGGGATCTTCCCAACCCAGGGTTCAAATCCAGGTCTCCTGCTTTGCAGGCAGATTCTTTACCAGTTGATCCACAAGAGAAACCCAAAAAGAAAATGAAGTGGCTCAGTCATGCCCAACTCTTTGTGACCCCATGTATTGTAGCCTGCCAGGCTCCTCCATCCATAGGATTTTCCAGGCAAGAATACTGGAGTGGATTGCCATTTCCTTCTCCAGGGTGTCCTCCCGACCCAGAGAGTGAACCCAGATCTCCCGCATTGCAGGCAGACTCTTTACCTGAGCCACCAGGGGATCTAGAACTTTCCTAGACAACACATGAATTTGTAAGAAAATAATTGTGTGTTTTTGTAAGCCATGGCAATTTGGGGATTGTCTGTTATGCAGAATCATTGAAGCGATAGCTGACCACTACAAGACATGAAGGTGGATGACCTCAGTGTGACATTGCTAGAAGGAAATAAACAGCATCTGGCCAACCTGCAGTTTTCTTCGGCAAGCAATGTCCACCACGCACATACACCCTCGCCTCTGTTGCAGCAAAAGGCACTAGGAGCTAAAGTGAGGGTTTTCCCCCCTGAGTTTCCACAATCTTTGCCTCTATCTCAGAGATAACACGTGTGTAACACAGTCTGCCTTGGTTTAGATTTATCCATGTGCAACAGCTGCTTCTCAATGGTAAACTCCTGGAGAGCAAAGACCACATCCTGATCATTTCAGTATCACCTACAGGATGTGGAACAGGATCAGACACTTCACTGACTTGAAAAATACCTAGTATTGAGTTGAGAAGGATCAAGGGGGTCCATCCCATGGAAGATGAACAGGCCTAAGAGATGTTGAAATTACAGCCGGGACTGAACCATCAAAACGCCTGGACCATGAGGCACTGTCAGTTCTCTGCGGCCGCCTGAGGACACACTCCATGAAGGCCGTGCAGAAGGGAAGCCTACACAGACAGCCCAGTTCCTTCCCCAGCACGTGTCAAGCACCTACTGAGCGCTGGCTCAGCAGCAGGATGAACCTGTTAAAGACGTCTGGAAGGACATTGAAGATGATGGACGCACACCTACCTGAGAGCTAGGCGGGGCCACCAGATTGATTCCTGGAGGGGCTGCCAGTGCCCCCGAGGGTGGGCCCATGGCAGAAGTGATGACGCGATATGGAGAGCCCAGGGCATTGAGGGGGGCCCCCACTGCACCCAGAGTTCGCGGGGCACTCACTGGGGTGTCGGTGTAGCTGGGGCGGCTGTCCACGGGCTTCCCTGTGGACAAGGCCGCCGATGGACTCATGGACGTGGAGCCAGTATGGCCGGGAGAACCTGCAAGGAGAAAAAAGTCAAGGTGATGGGAGGGTTGGTGTGTGAGGACAGAGTCCCCTCCCTTTGTCTCCTGTATCATTCCCCTTCTTCCAGCCGTAGCCGCACACCTGTGAACTCGCAGCTGGTAGAGTAAAGGCCAGCAAAGACCAGGAAGGAGAAAGGACTTGCTATAGGACAGGTTCTCTGGTACGCCACATGGAATTCACCTTGAATTGTATCAGAACAATAATCAGGGCCACAGGGACATAACCCACAGTCCCCAGGCCTGGGGGACTGTGATCTGAGCCAGTCAGACAGGGGAGGTGAGCCCATACCAAACTCCCAGGTGGGGGATGGAGTGAGCAGGTGTTTGGGCTGCTCCCAGAATTCCCTGCTCAAACTCATTTTGCTCTGAGAACAAGGGTAGGGCTGAGCCTCTATTTAGTCAGGAGTCATTCATTCATACGTAATGAACATCTATTACAGTGCAGGTACCACATCAGATGCTAGTGATTCAGAACTGAAGGGGACACTGTGCTTGCTGTCGGGAACACATTCCATTATGATCACGGGGAAGGCAGAGGCTGTTATCATGCCTTTCACTGTCTGTAGCTTTTGCAATTTTAGTCCCATAAGGTTCTTATCCAATCTCTAGAGTGTAGGGTTAATCAACACTTAGGGAAGAAGACTCAGGATGGCTGGGCATGGCTCAGCGGCCACAGAGGCCCAGGAAGGCAAGTGTGACCTGGCCTGCCAAGACTGTTTCTCCTCTGGGGATAGGAAGCTGTGGCCACAAGTGTCTGCGAAACGTGCTCTGGACAGATGGCATCTGGTACCTTTTTCCTAGAAAAGTTGAGCCCAAGTTCCCTCCTAGATGCTACTCAAGATAAAAGAAAAGAAGCATACCCAACTTCCATCTCAGGAGCCCAGCATGGAGCACTCTCTCCAGGAGAGAGGAGCTGTGAACTTTAGGGTCCACAGCAGCAGGGCAGAGACTCGGGAGAGCAACAGAGCAGCCCACCGAGAATCATAGTCCCAGCTCCCTGTGTGGCTGGCATGCAAGAACAGATTCTGCATCATAATTTTTATATATATATATATATTTTTNGCACGCAATACTCTGAAGCCAAAGCATCAATTTAGGGAGCAAACGCTGATCATAAATGGCCACTAAAGGTGGTCTCCTTCATGCAAAGCTCTCTCTTAACTAGCCCAGATGAGGTTTCCACATGTTGTTCCAAGCCTGGTGTGAGATGTCAAATTTGTTTCAGGTTCCCATCTTGACCAGTTCTAAAGCCCCTGTGATGGTTGAATCAACAGCAGTAGAAGAGATCTCTTTCCACAGAGAGTGTGTCCAGAAGAACAGAGACTGAGAGCATGACCATGAGGATCACAGGGGTGGTCCTAAAAAGTTCTGCTTTGAAGCAGAGTTTACAAGAAATCTCCCAGCTATCAAGGAAGCACAGCACTCCGGGAGATTCTTTGACATCAGTGTCACCTTATCTGGCCTTAGACCAGAAGTGATACGCATGTTTCACTTTACCTATAATTTCTGGTTTACTGTAGCAGCTGCCTCCTTGTGCAATAGCAAGTGAAAAGTTCTACCCTGAGACAGGCCTGCTGGGGGGCGGGCGGGGTGAGGGATTCACCAAACATTGTAGATACTTAATATAGACCAACATAGCATCTGGGTGGCGGAGGATTACACGTTGGCCAGTGTTTTTTTGACTGATGTTCAACTGGCTACAGACCATCCTCTGAAGAACTCTGCACTGAGCCTACATTTGCTCCACAACGCTGTGTGTTTAAGTTGGGTCATACTCGTTCCGTGTCAGCCGTTACTGGATCCACATTAAAAAGCTATCTAGACTCCTCGGGCTTCAGTTCAGGAATTCCTCCCCCCTCACCTTAGTTTTCCGTTCTTTCTTCTGTTCTACTGCCTCGCACCCTGCACCACTTGTCCGACTGGGTGACTGGATCTCTGGCTAGGTATTTGGGTTCCGAGGAGCTGACTTAATACGACTTCTTTTCCCCTAGCTAACTCTTCCTCAGCTCCACCACTGCAAACCCAGACAAGTAAGTAAAGTGTCAGTCACTCAGTTGTGTCTGACTCTTTGCAACCCCACTGCTGTGGCCCGCCAGGCTCCTCTGTTGATGTGATTTCCCAGGCAAGAATACTGGGGTGGGTTGCCATTTCCTCCTCCAGGGGATCTTCCCGACCCAGGGATCAAACCTGCATGTCCTGCACTGGAAGGCGGATTCTTTACCTGCTCAGCCATCAGGGAAGCCCACTCTTTTAGCTTAGTTAAGGTCTGCTTGCAGAGAGAAGAGTCACTCCTGTGTCTGAGGAGGCTGGAACCTTCCAGGAGTTTCAGTCCATGAGGGACACTTGTCTCATAAACAGATGAATCCCAATTGCCATGTTCTAAGTACCACAACCGAGGTGAACCACACGCTGTGGGGTCCACAGAGAAGTGGCTAAAGGGCTCAAAGGGATGGGAGAGACACTTCTTGTGTGTCCTAAGTGGCATCAGGCAATTTCCGTACATTAACTCATTCTACCATCTTGACAACAGGGTGTGAAGACCATCTCAGCATTTTATAGATGAATGACAACTTGGGCTTAGCCTCACCCCCATGCTGCTCCAAGTGCAGCATGACTTGCCCCCACCTCCTTTGTCTAGAAGTTTTTACTTCTCCTTCAAGGTCTAACTCAAGTATCACCTCCTCCAGGAAGTCTTCCCTGATATTCTTAATCTGGTTTGATGCCCTTTTCTGTTTTGGTAGTAACAGCTTATTTATTTCCTTGTATTTCCCATTAAACTGAGAGGGAGCACTGGTCTGTTTTGTATCCTTACCACTAGCACGTTACCTGGCACTAGCCAGGTAGTGAGAGGCAGATTCCAGATTCAAGCTGTCAATCTGAAGCCCATGCAGTCTCCCGTGTGCTCTGTCAAGGACAGCAGAGATGATTTGGAGAGCCACCACATCACAGAGTACAAGATGGCTCAATTATGAAGTGATCTCAAGCTGAAAGTTCATCTGAAGGAGAGAGAAGAGGGCAACTTCCAAGAGCTCAAGCCAGAAAAACCAAAAATCTTCTCAGATGGTCACTGATTAGAAAGAAGAATTTTAGCCTCTTCAGCAGCCCTGGAAGGCTGTGACATTTAAAGAAGCCAGTGCGCACCTTGAGCCTGCCACTGAGACAGCATGTGACAGGTGAGTTAGGAGCCAGCCCATCCTGACGGGTGAGGAGCCGTGAACTTGGCTGGGATGACAGCTGTCCCTGCCCAAGCCATCTGATGGAAACCGACTTTCCCTTCCCTGCGTGGCCTTTCCAAAACTGACCCAAGGACCCTGCATATTCTACTCGGAGTGGGTCTCGGGGACTGTGCCTTTCATTTCTACGTCCCCAGGGTGATGTCCAGTGCTTCACACCAGCCCAGAGCTATGGGACAGGCAGGAACAAGATCTTCCTTCACACAGTCATCAATCTGAGGGTTACCAAGGTATGCAGCCTCTAACACTGGTGATATGGGACATCTCAGGTGGTGTTTTAAGTGATATGTAGGCAAACGTTTAAAATATATTAAGTTTTATATTCATTTTTACTGTTTCCTTCTGTTTATTGCAAGTGACTCTGCTTCCATCTTTTATATAAAATTATCTTCCTAAAAATCACTATTTAAGTTTTCCCAAAAAAGTAAACTGACCTCAGAAAATTTCTATGTACAAGAACATGTGATATGTTGAATATCATGAAAACAGCATGCAAAGGAATGATGTTTAAGAAACATGGGCTGTAATTTGCTATTGATAAGGAGGGAGAAATGGAGAATATCACAAAATTTCCAGTTCTGTTTTGTTTTGTGTTTATGAATTAAGTTTACTCTTTTTAAACTTTATTTTATATTGAAGTATAGTTGATTTATAATGTTGTGTTTGTTTCAGATGTACAGCTAAGTGATTCAGTTATAGACACTGATTTAATGTTTTTGCAGCTATTATTTATTATATGTAGCTATTTGTAACATCTAATACATATAGACAGATATGGAATTTAGCTTTCATTCCACATATAAAAATAAAGTAATGACTAGCTTGATCATTTACTTAAAAAAAAAAAAGAAACATGAGCTGTACAAAAAATATGAAAATATGGACTTGGGGAAACTCACAAATTGTTTCCAGAATAAAATGAGAGGATGTGAGAGAGATCTGAAATTTAAAGTACATTATTTTTATTATAATTAATAATAATACAAATGAAGACAATCAGAATATTCCTCAATTAGTCAGTGATGGCAATGGCCCATTGAGACAGAATGCAACAGCCAATTAAAGTCTGGTTTACCACGGCCTTTAAAATGTCTGCTGAGTCAACGGCCCAGAAGAGATGGGCCATATTTTTATATGAAAAATTAAAAAATTAAACACATCTTCACAAATGCATTTTTATTCTTTGCCTCTCACAATGAATGACCACTGTTACGTAGAAATACATAGCTTTGCTTTTAGAAAAGGTGGAAAATAATGAGTGTTGTTCAATGGAAAATTAATCCACACTCCCAAATAGACACTAAAACCTTCCTATCTAGGACATTTTTTATCAGTTTCTTCAGCTCTCACTTCTTTTTTTTTTTTTTTCCATAGCCATGTGGGAACTACAGCTAGTACAAGTTTTCCAGAAGTTTGGTTTCTAGTCCAAATCCAAAGTGAAGATTTTCTCTAAAGCTTCTATCTGGCTCCTGTGCAGAGGCTGGGAGCCCAATTTTCTCCCTGACCACATGCCCCCTAGATCCTCATCAGCCCCTCATACTGTGCCCACTCTCAGATGCCTGGGAAATGCACAAAATCTCTAGTCTGCAGAGTTCATTTTTTTGCACAGCAGTTATTTTTATAGAAATTAATTCATCTGATGGGAGAGGGATGGCTGACTTTCTCTGGACCTTCTCTTCTCTCCTAGCAACATACTAAAGAAATGTCTTTCATCTTTCCAGGGCTCACTCTCCCCAGTAGGA